TAATAGCTACATCTACTTGTCAAAAGAAAAATGAATAAATTCAGATCTCACAACATTTTTGAAGTTGATGAAAATCATGAGGTGATCATTAATTATTATTATGATAGATTTAATCTAATTTAGGTTGTTGTAGCTGTGCCTAACTTGCACATGAAGCCAATTTGATGAAGCATGTTGTACACGTACACCTGACTTTTCTATATATATAAATATGTGTTGTGTGCTACAGTAGTTTGTCTTGCATTTTACACTTTTTGTCATGTTTATTCCATTGCCATTACCATAGATATTACTCTAATATCTATGCCATTACATGTATTGGTGGGGACTTTCCCGGGAAAAGCTCACGCCTGGCCCTAGGCTAGCATCAGAATCCGTCTACTATCAGCAGCTCATATCCTTTTTGGCGGAAGGCTAGCTATTTAATGAGCACTGCAATGGAGGGTCATTATTGCTACAATGCCGTCTTCATTAGAACTTATCTTTACTGGTTTCTTGCCATGCGGCTTTACCAGGTAGTGATAACTGTGCCATAAATCATACTGAGAAGTTATCTGATTTTGCTCCAACAACAATACGTCTAGAAGAATATTAGTTATTGTATTCAATGCCAGATCAGCAAGTCTGAGCAAGACCATAATTCAATGCCTAAAAAATTTTTTTGCTTGCTTGATCTAACTTTTAAGTTACTTAGAACAAAAGCCTACCAGTAAAAATAGTTGTCCATTGTCCCTCTTAAAATATACAATAATAATTAAATTTTACCTTTTAAATTTAAGACACAATTGCCATTGGCCCTAAGACTACAACCTGCTGCATGGGAGAAAATATATCACCAATTAAGTTAACAGACTACTGCATGTAATGAAGTTCAAACAAGTAAAAATAAGTACCAGATACAAAAGGTTTTTAAATTACGAGGTGAATATTGCTGTATTCGATTAATTATACTGTACTCCCTCCTGATATTGACTTTAATATTCAACTTGTTGGTGTTAATCCAGCTGGAGTGGGAGAACCATTGGAACAAACAGTTTCATTTGAGAATTGTAAAGTTATAACTAATGGCATTAATAATTTAATACAATCTTTAATATTTAGTAACTTACTTTCAACTGGGACCTTGTGAAGTTTTATTTGAAGAGGACAAGGAGCAAGTAATCATTGGATTTATTGTGAGTCATTCATTGAATAATGTTAATTATTATTATTATTACATACTATTATATATAGTTCAATGACACCAGTAGTCCATCACTGGCTCCTGGTAATTGTTTTATAAGACCACAAGAGGTGGAGGTCAGCTCAATCTGTATACTTGGAGGCAG